AGTCCCTGCCAAACTTGGGAGGTGGGAGTCCACATCACAGCCCTAGCCCTCAGGAAAGGAATCCGGCAAATTCCCTGCCTCATTCACTCTCTCAGCCCTTCCTTTCACTGGGAACCAGTTGTCCAGTGGGTTCTCAGCCACCTTTGGAAATCTACGTCTTAGTCCGTCGCCACTCTTTGGAGTTTGATAGCTCATTTCTTCATGTCTCAACCAACACATCAATTTAGCATATTAAAGTCTTTCCATGACCAGGCACGGTGGCTCACGCCTGTAATCTCAGCACTTTGGAAAGCCAAGGCAGGCAGATCACCTGAGCTCAGGAGTTCGAGACCAGCCTAGACAACATGGTGAAACCTTGTCTCTACCAAAAATGCAAAAATTAGCCTGGCATGGTGGCAGGCACCTGTAATCCCAGCTTCTCTGGAGGCTGAGACAAGAGAATGGCTTGAACCTGGGAGGTGGAAGTTGCAGTGAGCCAAGATGATGCCATTGCACTCAAGCCTGGGGACAAAAGTGAGACTTTGCCTGAAAAAAAAAAAAATGCTTTCCACCTGCACACCTGGGGGCTGAGCACATTGCTGTTCTTGAAAAAAAAAAAAGAAAGAAAGAAAATGTGTGTCAGCTGTTAACACCAGAGAAGCTGGCCGAGGGGCAGGAGTGAGCCACCGAGGCTGAGCAATAAATTAACTGTTGTTTGCCACCAATGGCCCTCTGGCTGATAAGACCCCATCCCTAAGGTGGGGGACAGCAATAAACTTTAAGACAGCTGAGGTGACAACTGAGGAAGGACAAGCCTTGCCTCAGTTCCTGACTTCTGCTTCTTGCCAAGGGGCAGCCTTGGTGGTCAAGATCCTGGAGCTGGAATGGCTGATGCCAACAGCGGCCCAGCTCCTTCCTAGCACGGTGGCCTTGGCCAGCTTACTCCCATCCGCCGTCCTCACTCTCCACCCCTCCAGAGACTGGGGCTGCCTGCCGCTGGATGCAAGGGCTTCTTGCACTTCAGTCCTGTGTGCCTGTGCTGACTCCATCCTCTCTGGCTCTTCCGCGTGGGGCTCTCCACGGCCCCAGACTTAGCTCCTCCTGCTCAACAACTGCCAGAAAGGGGGTGTCTTTTCCCCAGCAGATCCCACAGAATTCCAGTATTGATCCTGATTAGCCTGTCACAGGGGTGGTGGGGTCACGGGCCCTGAACCTATCACTGTGGCCAGAAATGAACTAGGCTGAGCAGCCAGGCCAGGGTGATGGACAAAGCCCTAGAACAGGGGCAAGAAGGGGAGTGCCAGGTACTGCGTGGACAGGGAAGGGGAAGAAAGTTGTTTCCTCCAGAGGAAAGGCAGGGTTCTGGTGCCAGTTGAGAGCAGGCAGGGGAGCAGGAAGACAGGAGGCAGAAACCACTCTCAGAAGCAGGAGCAAGCCACAGGCCCGGGTCCACCCTGCTACTGGGAGTGATTATCTGCAGGAGGGGACACATCTGGAACTAGCATGTTTCAGTTGGGGACAACAGAGGTTCTGATCCAACAAGGAAAGAGATTCCCTCCAAGCTCCTCAAAAGAAGGGGCTGGAGGAAATTAAGCCTGAGGCCGCCCTAGCAGAAACAAAGAGAAGACAGGATGCTGGCGTGGGACCCCTCCTCCTCACAAAGGAGCTGGGCTGACCTGGTAGAATTTGCATGAATGTGAGAAACACAGTCTTCCACATGCTTCTCAGTGTGGCCTTTATCCTGCTATGGCCTCTGTGTTCCTCAGTGATGAGAGATAGCACTTCCTTAGACAGGGATGATGCTTAAGGTTAATTGAAAGTGGCCTTTCTCATGAATCATCCGCGGCACTGAATTATTAATCACCTGTAGGCATTTGCAGGTCTTTAAACTCTTGGACTTCCTGCAGCCCTCCTTGGAAGTGCTTTTGCCATGGAAATAAAACTTCCGCTTGGCCGTAAAAGACAGAACCCATGTCGGCTGCTGTTTCCAGGCTTCCCAGCTCCAGAGACACAGTGAAGAACAAAGTCTGAAAACAGGAAGCAGAGCCAGAGCTGCAGCCAGATCCTGAATGCCTTTCTGTTCTGGGGAGCTGGTTCCAGGCCAGCCAGGTCTCAGAGCCCCCGGGACAGTGGATGGAGAGGAGGCTGACCACAGTTCCTGTGGCTCTTTGCCTGGTTCATCATCATCACCATAGGAGAGGGTCTCCTGGGGCCTTGCCCTATAGCTGGTCACCAGTGAGGAAGGAATGAGGGAACCAGGTGCCAGGCCTAGCTCCATCACTTAAAGGTGGGCCACGAAGCCTTTTTGATTCAGTTTCCTCATCTGAGGAGGTGGTCGTGACCCTGCAGGGTAGACATAAGGCAGGGTTCAATGGAATTGTTTACATCAAGTCTGTATCGTGATTCTCAAAACATGAGGAGCAGCAAGAAAGGTGAGCTCACTCCTGCCACCTGCTCTCACCTTCCAGTGGAGGAAGAAAGACTCGAAACTCAGTGGGCTGGCTGGCTGTGTAAGGATTTTGCAGATAGAACTGGCAACGTGATTTTGCAGCTGGCCTGCAGGACCAGGATAGGGAGCTCCTGATGGGCAATTGTGAGCTCAGGATGTGTATGACGCATGGACAATGTGAGCAGAAGCTGGGACAGTTCATCCAGATGGCACAAGCCCTTCATCTGCCATGCAGCACAGTCTCAGACCTGGAGGTGGATACTGGGGATTCCAAGCTGAATAAGACATGGCCCCCTGCCTTCATGGAAGCCCTGGGCTGCCAGGAAGAGTGAGATGGGGCAGTAGTCACAGGCACAGAGTCCCATATTCAGCACAGTAGCTGCAAGGACTATGAGGACAAGGAGAGGGTGATGAAGGGTTTCACAGAAGGCAAGATGCTGGGGGGGTTCATCTTGAAACATGAGCAGTGGAGAAGGAGGGTGGGAGGGGCACTGAGTATTTCAGGCAGGGAGAGAGCAGCATGGTAGGAGGGACCACTGCATCAGCAGAGCTGTGGAAGTAGCTGCACAAGTCTGGGCATGAGCACTGCAGAGAGGTGGGGGAATGAAGATGGAAGGGGATCCTGGAAGACACCAGCCGGGGAGGGGAGGTGGTACAGCACCGAATCTGAAGAGCTGAGAGGAGGCCCACGCAGAGCTCCAGATGAGAGGTGATGGAGGGCTGGGTGAGGTTTTTGCCATGATAAAGATGGACAGAGAAGAAAGAGCTGGCAGGACTTGGCGACACAGAGGAAGATTGGGGACTTCAGAAAAGCACAGCATGGAGGTTGAGAGATGGCAGCTCTAGGTCTGGCACTCAGGAAGTACCAGAAGGGATTCCCTTTTCAAAAAAATACCCACTACCCACCCCACCCCCAGAACAGCCTGAGTGCAGTTTGAGCCCGATCATGGAGGCAGCTGGTGTGGGTGGGACCACATACACTATTAGGGCCGCTCAGGTGGGGTGGAGGGAGCCTGGGGGAAGGGGTCAAGATAGCTGAGGGGTTCCACATAGGGGTCCCCTAAACCTTGATAGCTGCCTGAGTTCAGTGTCGGAGCTCTAGACAGAGGAAGGGGAAATGTAAGCCACCTGTCCCAGGGCACTGCATGAACAACACGGTCCGCACAATGATCCCAGAGAGGTCACGTCCTCATCCCCCAACTCCATGAGTACATGGCAAAGGGGCTTGCAGGTGCGATTAAGTTAATGATCTTGAGATGGGGGGTGGCGGTTATCCTGGATTATCTGATGAGTCTCGTGTAGTCACAGAGGTCCCTACAAGAGAGACGCAGAAAGAGTTGATGTGAAATGACCCAGAGTGAGAGAGGTTAGGAAAGGCTGTGCTGCATGCAGACTGTGAAGACCAAGGAAGGAGCCACTAGCCAGCAGCCTCTAGGAGCTGGAAACACTGGGAAACAGATTCTCTCCCCTTGCCTCCAGAAGGCACAGGCCCTACCAACCCAGTTCAGAGTCCTGACCCCCAGAACTGTGTGGTTTAAACCACTCAATCTGTGGCACTTTGTTGCAGGGGCAACGAGAAACATACAGACATCTAACTCAGACTGGAGGGGGACCCAAGCCCCATTTCCAGAGACACCTGCCCCCACAGTGACCTCGGGGAAGCAGAAGTGGGGGAGGATTCTCCAGCCACCCCAGACTGTCTCCAAGTACAGCGGAGAGCTAGGCCCAGTGCACAGCTGAGGGCACTTGCTGGGTGAAAAGGCCGAGGGGTCCGCCTTCTCATGGCCCGGCCTGCCCATATCCTAGAAGGGGAGTGGGTGCGGCCTCTGCACCCTGGGGCTGAGGGCTCCCAGACCCGGCTCAGTGGGGCATCCCAGTTCACCACCCTCCCCGCCTTAGGTGAGCCAAGGCCGGGCAGGATGGAGCCTCACGCACACTGACTGCCTCTAGGACAGGTACAGGTGACACTGGGGTGTGGGGCCCAGGCTATGACTGCACAGAACCTTCAAGGCTGTAAAACAAGAAGGCCCATCCCTGGAAAACACGCTCTCCCCCACAACCCCCAACACTAGGCTGCACCACAGACACACATGTTCCTTTCCGTCCCCACTCAGACGCCTCGAGGTCTCAGACGCTCCCCACCAGAGCCTCGGGGCTGGGGGGAACCACGGGGACGCGGCCAGGGCGATCAACGGGGTGACCAGCAGTGGACGCGCAGCACCTTTACTCCCACCTCTCCGGCAAGGCGCGTTCACCAGCCTGGACTGGCCAGCGCGGGCCCTGCACTCTAATAATCACCATAATAATAGGGGCTGGGTGTACGGAGGGGACCCAGGCGACGCCGGCCTCAGTCCGATAACCACCGTAACAGCGGCTGGGCCGCGCCGCGCCTCCGCTCTAAGTGCTCCTTACATAGTTCATTAGACACCAGCAGGCTGGCCACCCTTATGAGAGCCCCTCACAGACAATAACCCAGTTGAGGAGAGTGAACCCAGAGTGTGGACGTTAAGCTATCCCAAATCGCAGGGCTGGCGAATGAGGAGCCGGAGTTGGAATACAGGAGCTTCTAGAACCCGCTCCAGAATCGCGCTCTGGACCCCTCGTCCATTAGTTCGCTGAGCGCGAATGGGTGAGCTAGCGCGGCGTTCCTGCCCAAGGCGGTCAGGGGAGCGGCGCTGGGGCCCGGGACCCGCGCGGAGACTCCGCCCCGGAATCCGAGAAGGCTCCCTTGAGCCGGGGTCGGAGCTGCGCCTGGAGGGGTCTCGGCCTAGGGATGATCAGGGTGGGCCGGGACACAGTCCTGGCCACGGGCAGGTCGCGTGCCAAGGCCACCAGGTGTGAGGGGTCGGGTGCGAAGCCCCAAGTCAGACGCGGGTGCGAAGGCTGCAGCTCTGCCCTCCGGGATGGGGGTGGTCCTCTCACCCCACCTTGCCCCAAGAAGCAGGGAGCCCTGGGCGCCCCTGGCACTGGAGCCCGGGACCCGCCTCGCCTGAGCCCTGCGGAAGACCTCACGGTAGGTTCTTCGCCCCTTCACCTCCGGGCCTGGGCCTGGGCCAAGGCCGGGCTGGGGCGGGGCTGCGGCTTCAGGGCGCTGGGTCCCTGCCCCTTCCGTGCACCGCGCGGCTCCTCGCACCGCAGCGGCACCAGCGCCACCACGGACCGCCCCAGCGCCCGCCCGACGGCGTCCCGCCGCGCTTTAAGAGCCAGCCCCGCAGTCCAGCCCGAAGAGGCCAGACCAGCGAGACCACCCTGCGGGAGCAGTCCCATGGCAGGTAAGCGCCCTCGCCTACCCAGTCCGGCGCCAGCCCCGGCCCCTCTGTGGTCCTTTCAGCACTTGCCTCCGCCCCGCCGCCTCCGCTGGGGTGCACTCGGCCCCCCGGACTCGGCGCCCTCATAGAGGGGCACTGGGATGGAGTGGAGGCTGAGGCCAGCTCTTCGCTGTCAGTTGCGTCTTAGGAGGTGTGGGGGTCCCGCCTTTTCACCACCCCACCCAGTCCAGATTCCTGAGCCCGGGACGCCCGGTACCCGCATGTCACCCTAAGGGAGGCACCTTTTTGGCCCAGCCAAGGTGGCCAGCTGTTGGGACCCAGCGTCTGAGCACCCCTGGGCGGAGCCTCCTAAGCCCCCCAAATGTGGACTTGTGAGGGCCAGCAGCAAAGGGGCCTTGCCCTCTCCACCTCCCACCCCCTCCACCTCCTCCCACCCACTCTCCTGAGCGCACACGCGCGCTCACCTTGATAGAGGGCTAGGGGAGGGAGCGGGTGTTAGAGAAGGTTAGGGAACCTGAGCCAGAGTCCAGCCTCACAGCGGGTTCCAGGGGCCCCGGAGGGTATCGGTCTGATTGCAGACCAGGAGGAAGGTTCCTTCCAGGGTTTTCCCTAACTGACTGCGCCCACAGCCAAGTGCCCCTCCTGTCCTCAACAGGAGCCCGGGGTTGGAGGTTCTGGTGAGGGCAGGTTTGATTTCTACTCAGAAACAGAAGGAAGTGGTTTCTTTAAGCCAGAACCCAAAGGGCAGGGCCAGCTGTTTTCCAAGGAAAACCAGAAAGTTCTGCCCAGGGCTCTCAGACCCTAGAAGGGGAGTGGTTGGGGTAAACGGCTTTTCCTCTGAGAGTTGGCAGAACCCAGCCAGCAGCATTCCTCCCGGAAGCCCTCCCCAGCAGGGGCCACTCCTGAGATCAATCCCAGGGGGCAGGGTTGCTGCCCCGGTTCTGCCCCAGCAGGCCAGGGCTGTGAGGGAGGGTGGCTTCCCCAGGCTGGCATCACAGTACTGGTGGTCTCTGCCCTCAGACCAGCTGGCCCTGGTGATCGGGGGCACCATCGGGGGGCTGCTGCTGCTGCTGTTGATCGGGGCAAGCTGCTGTCTGTGGAGACGGTTCTGTGCCACCCTCACCTATGAGGAGCTGCCTGGAACACCAGCCACGGCCACTGCAGCTGCCTCCAGTGGACAGCGGGACAGGCTCTGCCAGCCACATGCTAGGACCCCACCAAGCAGGTGAGGCAGGATGTGGGGCCAAATGGGTCCTTGGAGATTCCCTCAAGGTGGGGTCAAAAAGGAAAGCCCTGTTTATGGGGAGCCTCTTCTGTGCTGCTTCGGTGCTAGGAGCTATCACAAAGAAATCCCAGAAACCTCACATCAGCTGTTAGGCAGGCATTATGAAACCCATATTCCAGGTGAGGAAACTGTGGCTCAGCGCATGTAAGCAACTGGTTCAGAGGGCACAATTAGTAAGTGGCAGAACAGGAATCCGAACCCAGACTGGCTGACATCGTCATCAGGGGCTGTGTTCCTTCTGCAAATTCCGTGTGTGTGTGTGTGTGTGTGTGTGTGTGTGTGTGTGTGTCTGTTGCCTGATATGGCCCGGGAAAATGGTGTCCTGGCCTCCTCCAGCTCCTGATGGCTTTTCTTCCTCCAGCCCCTGGCGCTCAAGCATCCTGACTGAGCGCTCTGAGGCCACATCATTCACTTGCCACCTACATGTTGTCTCCCTGTCTCTGGACAGGCCACCAGGTGTGCCATTTGTGGTGCCCCCTTCCCTTCAAGGCCGAGACTGGGTGCCCCTCCACAGCGGAGAGTGGGCCCACACCCCATGGGACCCCCGCCTGGCATCAGAGCTGCTGCCTCACAACCCCAGCGGTGGCCTTGGTGAGTGCCCCTGCCAGGGCCTGCCCAGAGGTCAGGGTCTGCTCAGGTAGCCCCATCTGCTTTCACCAGCCTGGCTCCAGAACACAACTGAACCAGCCCAGGGATGCCAGGGTTGCCCAGGGACCATCCTTTCTGGGTACTTTCATTTATGAAGTGCTTGCTGCACCCCATGAGGTGAGACACGGGCTTGGGTGCTAATTAGGAGTGAGACCTCACCATGACTCTGTGGGGGAAGAATGATCACCCCATTTGACATAAACTGAGGCCGTAAACAGCAGATTGGGATTGGAACGCAGGCATCCCAGGTACAGAACTTGTACTGGGTCCCACTCCAGGTTGATGGGTTGGCTGACCAAGGAGAAAGAATGGTAGGGACTGCAAACACAGCTTTCTGCCACCTCTGTGCCCTGAAGATCTCCCAAGAGACCATCCCAGGACCCACCCAACAATCACCTTGGCCCTTCTAATTTAAAGAGGAAGAAAAAGGCCATGCTTTATCACTGAGTCATTCCCTAGACACCATGAAAGGGGGCCAGGCCAGGTGATGGCTACTGTGTCCTTGAAACAGGCCCTGACCTCCAAGGATGGGGGCCAATCCCAGGGGACAGGAGTATGAATAATCTGGACTCTGCTAGGATTCCCAGCCTGGCCAAGCAATGCCTTCCTGCTGAGAAGCCTTCCTGGAGGAGCTGCACTAGAGAGAGGGAATGTGTTTAGTCTGGAGAGGAGAGTGGGGTGGATGTGGTCAGGCTAGCTGAGGCTCAGCAGAGAGGGATGGACCAGGATGGGGATGAGTGCCCAGAGCTCGCCCCCTGGGCTGTCTCCCGTGCCCCTGCCTTCCTCTGGTCTGCCAGCCCTCCCACCCTCTGTTACAGGAGATGCATGTAAGGTGGGGACCATCAATCCAGAGCTGTACAAGTTCTCAGAAGACAGCAGTGAGACCGAATTCCCTGCCGGCTGCCTAGGGCGGCTGTGGTTCTCGGTGGAATATGAGCAGGAGGCCGAGCGGTTGCTGGTGGGCTTGATCAAGGCACGGCAGCTACAAGCCCCCTCAGAGACCTGCAGCCCTCTGGTGAAGCTCTACCTGCTGCCTGATGAGCGGCGCTTCCTCCAGTCCAAGACCAAACACAAAACCTGCAACCCGCAGTTTGACGAGCACTTCATCTTCCAGGTATAGCCTCTGGAGCTGGCAGGCTCTGGTACCCCTGTGTTCCTGGGAAGGTGCAGGCCTTCAGGAGAGCCCAGCCTCCTGTACCAGCCAGGGCCCTGCAGCCCCCTGGGACCCTCGATGCCACAGCTCTGCTTTACCTAGTCTGCCAGGTTAAGGCCTATAGGAGCTGATCCCTGATAAGAGGGACAGGGAAGATTTGGTGAGTAGTGACCAGAAGCCTGGGCTCCCCTGTCCTGACTGTCTGGAGAAGAGTGTGCAAAAACACAATTTTAGAGCAACTACTGAATGCCAGGCCCTAGCCTATGGGGCTCAGGGGAATTATCCCAAAGGCCTGTGGCAGTGTGGGGTTTCTGGCAAGTTTATCCAAGGAAGGCAGAAGATGGGCCCTAAAGGGACTGCAGGAGCTGCCTGTGCTGTCAGAGGCCAGTGTGGGGCCCCAGTGCTCTCCTGGGGCAGGTGTGGCGCCTTGCTGCACTTTGGGCTGGCCGGCTTGGGTTCTGGGCTCCAGAGGTGGAGAGGCTGTTGTGGCACCGAGCCAGTTTCACAGGGGCCTGGGAGCCTTACCAGGTGACTGGGGGTTCTTAGGGGAAGCAGCCGTCAAGACCTGCCAAGAGGCCTTGGACAAACATGTTCTCAAGAGCTGGGTGGCTAGCTGGCCGAGAGGTGAGGTGCAGACAGGCATCTCTCAGGAGGAGCGTGACTGCCAAGGCCAGGGCCATGACTTGTGCCTTCCACCCTGGCAGAGAGCTGGAGAGAGGGGTGCAGTGGGGCCTAGTGCGAGGCCATCTTGCTGAGCCAGGGCCAAGGCAGAACCCCCAGAGAGCTCCCCCTTCCTCCCCAAGGTCCATGCGACACACAGACATGGACCCCTTTGAGTTCCACTGCCATTTTAAGGATGGGGCAACTTCAGCCAGGGTCGCATAGACTATGGGGAGGAAGAGGGAGGCTCTCTGGGGGTTCTCTCTTGCTCGGCCAGAATTCACAGGGGAATCGCTCTTCTCAAGATGTCAGAATCCAAGGCTACAGCCTTGTGACGTGCCACGTGTCATGCTTTCGAGCTCATTTTTCTTGATTCATCACTTCCCCACTCTATCTCACCCCAACTGGATCCAGTCCCTCTGTGCTTTCAGAGGAAAGGGGGGAAGGGAGAAGGGGAAAGAGAAGGAAATCAATATTAATGGGCCCTCTACTATAGGTCAGACACTAGGATTGGGGTTTTATGGGCCTGTGCTACAGTGCAGGGTGGTGGCAGGGCCACACTCACAGTGCAGGTGCGTCACTTGGAGCTTCAGTTAAGTGGCAGATTCCTCCGATTTATGGGGCTGGGCTGGGGCCCAAGATCCTGTATTTCTAACAGGGCTCCAGATGGTGGTGGATGCTACAGGTTCTCAGACCGCACACTGTGTAACAAGGCCCTGGCACCTACCCCCACTTTTCAGGGGTACACGGCTCTGTTACTGAGAAGGTCCCCCTGAAAATGCCTGAGTTTGTGGGGTGTGGGTCCCTGGTTGAGACATCCTTTCCCAAAACACCCAGGTCCAGAATAACAAGTCACACCATCCCATCCCCAAACACCCATGCCTGACCCTGGCTGGGTCCTTGTCTCCCCCAGGTGTCCAGCAAGACCGTTACCCAGAGGGTGCTGAAGTTCTCCATCTACCATGTGGACAGGCGGAGGAAGCATCAGCTCCTGGGCCAGGTGCTGTTCCCCTTGAATAATGAGACCCTGGCAGGGGACTGCCGACACATCATCTGGAGAGACCTGGAGCCCGAGAGCCTGGAGGTAAGGTTGTGGTCACCATGCGTATGCCACTGAGCGTCAGCCAGCAGCTGTGCACAGGGCCTGGCAGCACCTGCTGGCGGTGTCAGCCTCAGCATCTGGCACACCACCCTACAACAGCAACTCAGGGAGGAGGGCTCAGGCCCGGAGCAGCATGGTGGGTCATGGACCTGCTCCTGAGCAGGGAGGGCCTGCTTGAGGTCCTGTTGTCACATAAGCCATCAGACTCCCTGAGCAACCTGAAATATCCACATTTGGGTTCCCATCCTGGTCAGACAGCTGTGAGAGGTGACACCACAAATGGTCCAGCTCAGGGAAATGTTTCCCCACCCCCACCACCCCTGGGAAGGCCATGGGTCGCTCAGAACTAGGTGTGAATCCTTAGCTCTGGTCCACAGGACTACACAAGCCCCTTAAACTGTCCAGACTTAAAATGACAGTGGAACTCAAAGGGGACGATGTGGGTGTGTCGCATGGACTGCTGGGAGAAGGGGGAGGCTCTGTAGGGGTTCCGCAGCCCCGTCAGCACCTGTCAGAGTAACAGGGTGGGGTGCTTCCATCTCGGCCTCCCCAGCCCCCCTCAGAGTTTGGCGACCTCCAGTTCTGCCTCAGCTACAATGACTACCTGAGCCGCCTGACGGTGGTGGTGCTGCGTGCCAAGGGCCTCCGGCTTCAGAAGGACAGGGGCGTTGTCAGTGAGTTCCTCCCTTTCCTCCTGGGGAAGATCCTGCCTACTGAGCTTACAGCCTGGGGCTACATTCCAGCCTCACCCCTGACCATCCAGTTTCTTCTTGCATACACCCTATCACAAAGCACTCACTACCTCACAAGATGTGCCCTCCCTCGGTGGACAGTTCTGGTACAGGAAGCCTCTTCCAATGTTGAACCCAAGGCTGCATCTCCTTGGCCTTCCCCGCTAAGTGTTCTAACCCAACCACAAGACCAGGCCCTGCCCTTCCTGTTTCCCTAGGCAGCATCTTGGCTCCTTGAACTGTCCTGCTGCCTCCACCTCCACCTTTCCATCAGGTGCATGGGTCCGGTTCCTCCAGGGTGAGGCCAGCACCTCCCTGCCCCCAGGGGAAGGAAGGGCTCCTGGCTCACTGGGCACTGATACTTGGCCTCCCAGAATACAGGAGCTGCAGGAGGGGAGGCCTCAGCTCACCCCACCTGTCCCACCAAATTTGGGCTAACCCAGCACGTCCCACCCACCCGAGTGAGGTGGTGGTGGCCAGCCACCTGTTTGTGTTCATGTCTGGGTCACCATAAGCCAGGCGGGATCCAGACCTTCCACATGACTCTGAGCCTCACCCACCAAATCTCAGCCCTCTGTACAAGATGTTTAAGGGACTCCAGGGGACCTGGGGACCCCATGATTAGCCGGCCAACAGGGAGGGACAAGCATGTGGTGGCAGGCTCTGGTAAACCAGGGCCAGGCAGAGCTATGAGTGCTTTTCTGAGGCAAAGAGGAAGGAAAAGGAAGGGAGTGGAGCCCCGCCTGGGCCACAAGGCAGTGCACTCCTCAGCCTGCTTCCTCTGGTCACACCCATGGGCTATGTGAGGGGTGGGGCCCTGGCGCCTAGCTTGGGCACGTGCCCTCCTAGCCTGACCTCCCACAGGCTCCCGCCCTCCTCTGCCAGCCCATGAGTGCTCACTGTTCCCCAGGTGTGTTTGTCAAAGTGTCTCTGATGAACCACAACAAATTTGTCAAGTGCAAGAAGACCTCAGCTGTGCTAGGCTCCATCAATCCTGTGTACAATGAGACCTTCAGCTTCAAGGCCGACGCCACTGAGCTGGATACCGCCAGCCTCAGCCTGACCGTGGTGCAGAACATGGAAGGGGACAGTAAGGCCACACCCCACCCCGGGCTATTGGGACGAGGGCCACGAGGGGCTGCCAGTGTTCAGGCAGAGAGAGTGCCTCCTGTCCTGACCTCGGAAGGAGCTGTACGAGCTCCCTCCCTGGTTAAGGAAGCTAGTGCTCAGAGAGGCTGAAATACTTGCCCAAGGACACACAGCTTCCCAGTAGGAGGGCTGGGTTTCATGCCCAGCCTTTAGTCCAGTTGAGCTCTTTCTGTGGCACCTTAGAGACAGGTCAAGCAGCCGGGTACCGTGGCTCACACCTGTAATCCCAGCACTTTGGGAGGCTAAAGTGGGTGGATCACTTAAGCTCAGGAGTTCAACACCAGCCTGGCCAACATGGTGAAACTCCCGTTTCTATTAAAAATACAAAAATTAGCTGGGCGTGGTGCCACACGCTTGTAATCCCAGCTGCTTGGGAGCCTGAGGCTGGAGGATCTCTTGAACCCGGGAGGCTCTGTCAAAGAAAAAAAGAACGAGGTTAAGCAATGGCCTCTGCTGCCCTCTCCTGGAGCAAATCAACAGAGAGCGGGGGAGGGAGCAGGGCCGCCACAAGCCTGGAGACCTGGTGCACTGAGCTTCCTCGCGCCTTCTAGACAAGCCTTTGGGGTTCTGGGCGAGTTCTGTCAGCCAGCTCTCCCACATGGCCCACAGCCCAGCATGCACTGGCACTGTGGGGAAGCTGAGCCATCAGGCCACGGCTGGCCACATGGCCTGGATTTAAGACCCTTCTCCATGGTGGCCAGTGAATGCTACTACTGAATGTACTCTTGGAGGCCGAGGCCTTCTTTCTAGAGAGCCTTTCCTCCCTCAGCTCTTTGGCATAAGGTAGACTTAATACGACCCTACAGAAGGGTGTGGGGCAGAGCGGGTGCTCTGAAGGTGAGGGTCTCTTTCAGGGCTCTCCTTCCTCCCAAACTCACAGGGGGAGAAGCAGCCCTTCCAGCTCCAGAGCAAAAGCAGGGCCCCTTTGGGGGCTGTCAGCTCCTGCTCAGAGAGGAGGGAGCTTGCTACTTCCTCCTGGGGAGGAAGAGAAGAGAGGGAGGGAAGGAGGGAGGCAGAAACGGAGGGAGGGGTGGTCACTGGGGATGTGGCTTCTGTGCTCAGGAGTACACTGGTGCTCTCCCTCCCCTGCAGAGAGCCAAGAGCTGGGCCGGGTGGTGGTGGGCCCCTACATGTACACCCGTGGCAGAGAGCTGGAGCACTGGGATGAGATGCTCAGCAAGCCCAAAGAGCTGGTGAAGCGCTGGCACGCGCTCTGCTGCACCACAGAGCTCTGACCCCCTTGGGGTTCACTTTGGGAGCCTACTGTCCTCTGCCGTTGCACTGCAGCCACAGCCACAAGCATGGACGTTTCATTCAACCGCTCCCTGAGCTGCGAGGCCAGCCCGAGCCAGTGGGATGTGAGTGCTGATGTGCAGGAGAGAAGAGGGGACGAGGAAGCCCCAGCCCCGTCATCAGGTCAGCAGCTGTGGCCATACAGCCTTCCAACACACTCCAACCTCCTTACCTGCGGGGCTGCCTCGGCTCAGAACCCCAGCTCCTGGTCCTCACCGCCCTGATTTGGACCAAAATCTCAGGTGCTCAGAAGAAAGATCCTATTTAGTGATGACCGAGCTCTATTTACTGAATGGATGTACAGGCTACACTTGGGTGCCTCCATCTGGGAAAGCCGAAGATGTCTTAATGCAGTCGATGACCCACACTGCTTTTCAACCAGGTTTCTCTGCTTTCTGCCTGGCAGAGAAAACACACTGCTGCGGGAGAGCGCTGTGAGCAGCCCACGCAGGCACCAAATGCATGGCTCACTGTGCTGGGTGAGGAGGGCTTCCTCACATGTTAGGTCCTCCACGGGGCTGTGTCAAATGCCTCCCACATTGTATCAAGTCGGCCCACGGCCCACCCTCCCCACAGTCCAAAACCACACAGCCCTGGATCTCCAGCTGTTCTGCCGCTGTTTCTGTGGTCTCCCTGATTAACAGCATTCAGCTCCTGGCCTCTCCCTTTGAGCAGGAAATGGTGAAAGCATGTGGCTCTGGTGCAGCCCACAGGCTGAGATTGCTGTGTTGCAGTACTGATGTAAAATTTGTTAAGAAGAAAGTACCCACATATGGCCACCATCAACTCCCCAGAAGTTGCGCTCAAGCTAGTGAGTAGGCCTTGTGCTTGTCACAGTTACTGTAACAGGCAGTATGTATTTGCACCTGGCGCCATGCAGCCTGCACCTCAACACGTTGTTTTGCATAACTAGAACAGAACATGGAACCAGTATTTTTTGTTTTTGTTTTTGAGATGGAGTTTTGCTCTTGTTGCCCAGGCTGGAGTGGAATGGTGCAATTTCAGCTCACTGCAGCCTCCATCCCCCAGGTTCAAATTATTCTACTGCCTCAGCCTCCCAAGCAGCTGGAATTACAGACACCCACCATCACACCCAGCTAATTTTTTGTATTTTTAGTAGAGACGGGGTTTCGCCATGTTGGCCAGGCTGGTCTCGAACTCCTGGCATCAGGTGATCCACCTGCCTCGGCTTCCCAAAGTGCTGGGATTACCAGTATCTTTTTCTCATGCGTGAAACAACTTTAGGAAAAGAGGCAATGAATGTTATATTGAGTTTGTACCTCTTTAACTCCACCTCTGATTTCTGTCAATCTACAAATCAAGTGTTGCCTGGCAGTGGTCCATATGGACAGAATATCTTGTGTTTGCTTTTTATCACTTATTTCACATGTACATTTTCAAAGTAGTCCACAGTAGTCCACAAAACTGCAGTTTCTAATAGCTTCATGACACACAGGTAATAGGGGTTCTCTGTACGTTTATAGAGCAGGCTACCACAGTGGAACTGTTTGTTTCACCTGACATCCCAATAGGTGCCACCCCTACATTCCAAGGTGAGATTTCCGACTAGCAGTGACTTTTGCAGGGCCACTTAGAAAAGCTGCAAGTATCCTTTTCTGCAGGACAGAGTAGACTGGTGCATCTGACTCATCCCTGAAAAACTCTAAATGGCAAGAGACTAGCAGGCTCTCTGTACTGATGGGGAGGAAAAAGAGGTTGTTGTTTGTGTTGTTCTCTACAGACATATGCAGGGCAAGAAGTATATGGATGCTTACCATGAACCAGAGAGACCTGGCTGAGGTTGTCTCAAATCCTGTCCACATGGCAACTCCACAAGAAAGATGCCCCTTAAATTTCCATAAAAGACCTTATAATCAGCGAGTCGATTTCCACAAAATAAAGTGCTAGAATTTGATTGGATTTAATTGATTATGTAGAACAATTTGGGGCCATTTGAAATCTTTAAAATCATCTATCTTCCTGTTCATTAACATGGTATATCACTTCTTTAAGTCTCTTGTACATATCTTAGAATTATTTTTGCGGTTTTCAGTAAAGTGTTCTTGCACATCCTTCATTAGATTTATTCTTAGGTGTTTTATATTTGTTTATGGCTAGTATATACAGATTCTGTTGCTAAAAATCTATGTTGACCTTGTTATCCAGTGAGTGGCCTTGCAATATTCATTTAAATTATAATAATTTACAGATTTTTTTTTGTATAATCATGTCCTCTGTGAATGACAGTTTTCTTTCTTCCTTTCTTAATCTTTATGCTTTATTTATCTCTTGCCTACTTGCAGTAACCAAGCAACTGAACAAAAAAGAAAGAAAGAAAAGGAATCCAGATCGTAAAGGAAGAAGTAAAACTATATTTGCACATGACATAATCTTATGCATGGAAAATTCTAAAGGATCCACACACAAATAAAAACTACTAGAGCTAATACATTCAGAAAGGTTGCAAGATACAAGATTGGTATCCAAATTTCAGCCGCTAGGACCTCCAGCAGAATGCTGACTATAAGTAGTGAGAGTGGGTATTCTTTTTTTTTTTTTTTTTTTTTTTTGAGACGGAGTTTCGCTCTTGTTACCCAGGCTGGAGTGCAATGGCTCGATCTCGGCTCACCGCAACCTCTGCCTCCTGAGTTCAGGCAATTCTCCTGCCTCAGCCTCCTGAGTAGCTGGGATTACAGGCACGCGCCACCATGCCCAGCTAATTTTTTGTATTTGTAGTAGAGACGGGGTTTCACCATGTTGACCAGGATGGTCTCGATCTGTTGACCTCGTGATCCACCCACCTCGGCCTCCCAAAGTGCTGGGATTACAGGCTTGAGCCACCGCGCCCGGCCTATAGTGGGTATTCTTGTCTCACTCACAATCTCAGGGGCGGTGGGTGGGGCATGGGGACAGCTGTCAATATTCAGCATGAAGTATGATAGTTGCTATAGGATTTTTAATGTGCTCATGAACATATATTCTCAAGCTGTTAAAAAGGTTTTTTAAAAAATCACAAATGAGGTTAAATTTCTCTCAGATACTTATTCTGCACCTTTTGAAATAATTATATTTTTCTCCTTTATTCTTTGGACGTGATGACTTATACTAATTGACTGTTGAATGTCAAACCAAACTTACATTCTTGTAATAGAAACTAGTGGGTTACGTGTTTGCGTGTGTATGCAGGTTTAGACACATAAACACAACAATACTTGGACTTACTTATTTAAAATTTAGATTTATCAGAGAGAACATGACCATAAAATAAAATAAAATTTAGATTTAAGGTGGGCACAGTGGCTCACACCTGTTATCCTAGCATTTTGGAAGGCCACGGCAGGTAGATTACCTGAGCTCAGAAAACTTGGTCTCTACAAAAAACACAACATTAGCCAGATGTGGTGGCATACTCCTGTCGTCCCAGCTACTTGGGAGGCTGAGGCAGGAGTATTGCTTGAGCCCAGGAAGTTAAGGTAGAAGTGCGTCGTGTGCACACCACTGCAGCCCGGCTGACAAAGCAAGACCCTGTCTCCAAAAATTAAATAAATAAATAAATAAAATGTAGATTAATTTGCTATTATATTTTCCAGGGTTTTTGCAGTTATGTTCATGACAGACTTTCCTATAATATTCTTATCATTCTGCTCTTGCACTTGAAAGAATGCGCATACTGCAGTTGTGTGCAGATGTTATGTGTATTTCAACTGGGTCCAGTTTGCTAATCAGATTGGCCAAATTATCTACATCTTTACTGATATTTTTGTTTGTTTTTCTGTAAATTACTGAGAGAGGCTAAAACCTGCCACTATTCTTATGAATTTGTTTATTTTTCCTTTGAGTTGTGTCAGTTTTTCTTTTATGCATTCAGAGGCTGTTATTAGGCTCCTACCCATTTAAAATGGACATTTTCTGGTAGAGTGAACCCTTTATTATGTGAAATGGCTTTCTCTACCATTCACAATCGTATTTTTACACTTTTTTCCTTAATTTGAATTTTTTAATGTTCTTACAATGATGTCACGTCTCTTGAATAGAGTTGTTGTAATCAAGTCTGTCAATTTTTATCTTTCGTGTATTTCGTTCATTTACATTTAATGTAACTACTGATATAGTTGTGTTCATAAATACCATCTTACTATTTATTTCCATCTGTCTTACCCATTATACAATTCTTTTTCTCTCATCTGTTGCTTTCTTTCAGATCATTTTTTAAATTCAATTTCCCCCCACCATTGGTTGCCACTTAAACATTCTGTTATAATTTCTTTAGTGGTTTCCTCCACAGATTACAACTTGTACACATTATTATGTACAATAAAAATGTAATAAAAATGTTACCTTTTACTGCTTCCCAGACAATGCTATGATCTCACAATACTGAATCTCTCTTTACCTCCATTCTACTCTTGCATGTATATTATCGATATTACTCATTTTAATTCCACATATATTTCACACCTAACAAGACATGGTTATTATTGCTCTGTGCAGTCAATATTCATTTGTATTCACCCAGATATTCACTCTGTTGTTTTTTATTATCTCCTGCACGTTTATGATTCTGTCGTAGATCAGTTTTCTTCTACCTGAAGAATTCCCTTTAATCGTTTTGTGTATGCACATCTGCGGGCAGCAAATTTTCTCAGGTTTTTTTTGTGTGTTTGTTTTTGAGACAGGGTTTCACTCTGTCACCCAGGCTGGAGTGCAGTGGCATAATTATGGCTCACTGCAGCCTCAACTTCCCGGGCTTAAGCAATCCTCCCACCTCAGCCTCCCAAGTAGCTGGGACTGCAAGCATGCACCACCCCTCCTGACTAATTTTTTTGTATTTTTTGTAGAGAGAGGGTATCAACATGTTGTCCAGGCTGGTCTTGAACTCCTGATCTCAAGCAATCTGCCTGCTTTGACTTCCCAAAGGACTGGGATTACAGGCCACCTCACCCAGCCTTTCGCATCAGTTTTTGAATAGAAACAAAGAAACATCTATTTTAGGGCTGGGTGCGGTGGCTCAAGCCTGTAATCCCAGCACTTTGGGAGGCGGAGGCGGGTGGATCACAAGGTCAAGAGATAGAGACCATCCTGGTCAACATGGTGAAACCCCGTCTCTACTAAAAATACAAAAAATTAGCTGGGCAGGGTAATTACAGGCGTGTGCCTGTAATTCCAGCTACTCAGAAGGCTGAGGCAGGAGAATTGCCTGAACCCAGGAGGCGGAGATTGCGGTGAGCCTAGATCGTGCCATTGCACTCCAGCCTGGGTAACAAGAGCAAAACTCCGTCTCAAAAAAAAAGAAAGAAAGAAAGGAAGAAAAAGAAACGTCTATTTTTTTTTTTTTTTTTGAGACGGAGTTTTGCTGTTGCTGCCCAGGCTGGAGTGCAATGGTGCTATCTCAGCTCACTGCAACTTCCGCCTCCTGGGCTCAAGTGATTCTCCTGCCTCAGCCTCTCGAGTAGCTGGGATTACAGAAATGCACCACCCTGCCCAGCTAATTTTGTATTTTTAGTAAAGACAGTGTTTCTCCATGTTGGTCAGGCTGGTCTTGAGCTCCCAACCTCATGTGACCCACCGGCCTCAGACTCCCAAAGTGCTGGGATTACAAGCATGAGCCACCATGCAGGTGTGGCCTCAAATGCATTGCTAAAGGATATTTTTGCAAATACAGGATCACAGTTTGACACTTTTTTCTTTCAGCAACTTCAGAACGGCATTCCATTATCTTCTCACATCCATGATTTCTGTTGACAAGTGATTTTCAGTGTTATTGTTTCTCCTTTGAAAGTAAAGTGTCAGTAATGTGTGCTGGCTCTCACCTATTGTCCGCCCACGAGTTCAAAACAAGCCCAGGCAATAGAGCCAGACTCCCTCTCTACAAAAGAAAAAGAAAGGAGGTAGCGAGGGAGGAAAAGAGAAAAGAAGAAAGATGTCTCTCCTATCCACCTCTGGCTGCTTTTAATGTTTTCTCCTTGTCTTTTGTTTTCAGCAGTTTAAGTATAATGTGCCTGGGCCGGGTGCAGTGGCTGACACCTATAATCCCAGCACTTTGGGAGGCCAAGGCGGGTGAATCATCTGAGGTCAGGAGTTCAAGACCAGTGTGGCCAACATGGTGAAACCCTGTCTCTACTAAAAAAAAAAAAAAAATCCAAAAATTAACCAGGTGCAGTGACACATACCTGTAATCCCAGCTACTCAGGAGACTGAGGCAGGAGAATCACTTGACCCAGGAGGCAGAGGTTGCAGTGAGTTGAGATTGAGTGACACGGTACTCCAGCCTGGGTGACAGAGTGAGACTTCATCTCAAAAAATAAATAAATAAATAAAGTATGATGTGCCTGAATGCAGTTTTCTTTTTATTTATCCTGCTTGAGGATCATAAAGCTTTATCAGTTTTGGAAAATTCTCAGCCTATATTTATTTAACTGTTATTTCTGCCCCATCTTCCTCTCTTCTTCTCAGACTCCAGTTACATATGTGTTAGGTCTGTTCACCACTCCCCACAAGGATCTTATGTTCTTTGCTTTCCATACTCTTTGTTCTTCAGCTTCACGCTTTTATTCTGTCCTATATTAAAGTTCAAAGAATGTTTCTTCTGCTAAGTCTAATTGTAGTTAACCTATAGGCTAAATAGTTAATTTCTTTTTTATTGCTTGGTTTTTGGTTTTTTTTTTATGGAGTCTCACTCTGTTGCCCAGGCTGGAGTGCAGGCCTGATCTTGGCTCATTACAACCTCCACCTCCTCCCGGGTTCAAGTGATTCTTCCACCTCAGCCTCCTGAGTAGCTGGGACTATAGGCACTCACCACCATACCCGGCTAATTTTTGTATTTTTAGTGGAGACGGGGTTTCACCATGTTGGCCAGCTGGTCATGAACTTCAGACCTCATGGTCTACCCGCCTCAGCCTCCCAAAATGCTGGGATTACAGGCTTGAGCCATCATGCCCAGCTGTTAATTTCAATTATTGTATTTTTAAGCTTTAAATTTCCATTTTATTCTTTCTTATAGATTTCAGTTCTTTGATGAAAGTCTCTATTCCATCCATCAAGTCTGTGTCTGATAACACCAATATCTGGGTCATTAGTGGCTCCATTTTGCTGTGTATGCTTTCCCCTCATTCCTGTTTCGTGGTATGCTTGAGCATTTACTGTTGAATGCTAAACAGTATAATAAATTATAGTGGCTACAGGAGACATTATCTGAAAACGATGTCTTTCTCCGGGGAGGGCTTACCATGTTGTCTGATAGACAGAATGGGAAGATTTTACCTTAATCCAAGGGTATTGAACTGACTGGAGTCTATGTTGCGGTTTCTGTGAGGCTCCATCTCCACCTCTGGTTTATCTGCCTGTTTAAGAGTGTGGTCCTCCCAGGGCTCCAACTGAGAGTCCGATGTGATTATTAGGCTTCTTTTCCTTGATGGGTCCTGAACTCCAATTTTTATCTCATTAATATGACACTGCCCAACCTGCGGCCTTTCACAGGCTCTCTGCATAGCTTAACTCGGCAGATGCCTCAAGGGGCAAGTGTTCCTTCTCTGTGTCTTCCTTCTATATGATATCTTGGACCCTCCAGTTGCAGCTGCCCTGACAACCTCAGTCTCCATTTCTTGTCTCTCTAACTCTAAACTCTGCTGCCTTTGCTGCCTCTTAGCTGCGGCCCTCCGCCCTAATGCTCAGCCTCTTAGCTAAAATCAGCTCGCTTCCTGAAGGGAAGGGTAGTTCACAGAGGGCCACCTCGCCTCCTGTGTTTTCCTTCTTTTGAGATTATGGCCCTTCAAATTCTTGTTAACTGGGAAGCTTTCCAGAAACTTTTTTTTAAAGGTTTACTTTGTTTTATTCAGCTTTTCCAGTTGTCCTTGGCATGAGCATTGGTCTCCCTCAAGCAGAAAAAAAAAAATCTTTTCTCAGAAAAAAAGATTCTCGGCAAAGAGTGATTTTATAAGGGGAATGGGATTCAACAATTTTTGGGAAGGCTGGTGAAGCCAACATGGGAAGAGTTACTTGTATCAGTGTGCTATTTTTTGCTATAATGGTGCATAATAACTAATCATGGCATGCGAATGCCACACTGAAATTAGCACTCATTTCTAATACATCTGTGGGTCAGCTGGAGGTGGTCTGATCTAGGGTAGGTAACTCATTTTTTTTTTTTTTTTTTTTTTTTTGAGACGGAGTTTCTCTCTTGTTGCCCTGGCTGGAGTACAGTGGCACCTAATCTCAGCTCACCACAACCTCTGCCTCCCGAGTTCAAGGGATTCTCCTGCCTCAGCCTCCTGAGTAGCTGGGATTACTGGTGTATACCACCATGCCCGGCTAATTTTGTATTCTTTAGTATAAACGGGGTTTCTCCAAGTTGGTCAGGCTGATCTAAAACTCCCAATCTCAGGTGATCCACCCACCTCAGCCTCCCAAAATCCTGGGATTACAGGCGTGAGCCACCATGCTGGGCCTGGCAACTCACTTTCAAGCTGTGGGTCTGGCTGGGCTTGGCTCTTCATATTTGTGCATTCTGAGCGCAGGCTGCAAGGGCAGCTGTTACCCCCAGGGAAAGCTCTTTTCATGGTGAAGGCAGAAGCATAAAAAGGCAGTCTGCATTGTACAGACCCATTTCTGTGTCTCTGTTTATGTTATTTCATCCGATATCCCATTGGTCAAAGCAAGTCACATGGCCAAGCTCCAAATCAAGGGGCAGGGAAGTAGATGATGTCTTTTTCCTGAGGGGAACTGCAACGCTACAGAGCAATGGACACAGCCACAGGGAGGGGTGAAGAATTCAGGAGGACAATGCACGAACCTTGCTGATGCTTCCTAGAGCCAGCATCTTCAAGAGCCTGTGCTTGGCTGTGACCATGCAGTCACCAAAGAGGATCCCCTCACTGCACAGCTGCTTTTGGACCACAATGCCATTGTTGCCAAACTGGCATCCCATGATGATGATGGACTGTCATTTGTACAGCTATTTGCCAGTTATGTTTTTTCTATTTTGCATTGTGGAAATCTTTGCCCAAATTGCTGCAAGAGCCTCGAGCATCCTACTGTCATAAGTTCAGAGTCAAAAGAAGTAAACAATAATTTTTTTTTTTTTTGAGATGGAGTCTTGCTCTGCCACCTAGGCTAGAGTGCAGAGGCACAATCTTGGCTCACTGC